CTGACACTGGGAGACAAATTCACCTTTCAGCAGGACAATAACCTAAAACTCAAGGCCAAATATACACTGGAGTTGCTTACCAAGACGACATTGAATGTTCCTGAGTGGCTTAGTTACATGCAGTTTTGACTTAAATTGGCTTGAAGATATATGGCAAGACTTGAAAATGGCTGTCTAGCAATGATCAACAACCAACTTGACAGAGCTTGAAGAGTTTAAAAAAGAATAATGGGCAAATATTGTACAATCCAGGTGTGCAAAGCTCTTAGACTTACCCAAAAAGACTCACAGCTGTAATCACTGCCAAAGGTGATTCTAACATGTATTGAATCAAGGGGTTGAATACTTATCTAATCACGATATATTAGTGTTTTATTCTTCATTCATCTTTAAAGAATGTTAGAATTTTTCTTCCACTTTGACATTCGAGTATTTTGTATAGATCGTTTAAAATAAATGAAAAATCCATTTGAATCATAATTTGTAACACAACAAAATGTGGAAAAAGTCAAGGGGTCTGAATACTTTCTGAAGGCACTGTAATGACTAAAATGGTCCTAAAACCCAGAAAATGGCTACAAGTGAGGTTTGGGTCAGTGTTGTGGGTCCACTTAAAATTTTACTTTAAGTGGAAGTACCTCCACAAAGCTTAGGAACCCTAAGTATTTAGTATTTCATTAAGTATTCAACTATTTATTGGATCAGGATTTTTTATTGGGCTGCCCATATATCACTTCCACCTAAGTTAACTTTTTGTGCAAGGGAAGGCAATTGCTTGCAAGTGGTTCTGATGGCCAGAACAAATCAATGTCTCTCAAGAGTCTAAGACCCCCTCAGAAGCCCCCTCTGCATAGTATTGTGTAGCCAGTAATACGGATTAGGCCTACTGTATGAATCAACAAGTGGTTGGTTGAGCAATTAGGCCTATTAGGCTTAAATTATTATCTTCAATTAAACAAGATTTTTTTTTTTATCGATTCAGATTTATCTAAATAAAAGGTCCAATCCAGCAGCTTTCCTTCTTTCTCTTGTTGTTTAAATTGGTACCACTCTGTTACCCCTGAAGGTATGCTCGCGGCGAATAGAAACCTTCTCTCTCCTTTCCACAGCTCGAGCGCCTGTTTAGATTCTTGCTGAAATCTTCACGAGTGATAACAGATCGCTCTACAGTCCTCGAGCCCTGACCATATAAGGGTCTCCAAGAATCCTACGCACAAAACATCTCTGACACACCAGAAAAAGGGGAATTCTGCCTGTTCCAAACAAACGCGCTCTATAGCCTACTCACAGCATTTGCCCAAATAAAGCTTTTTCAAAACAATTCATTAACCATATGATATATAGAACAGCAACCCTACAGAGCAACATCATTCGTATACCTGTCTCATCATCTTCCCATCAAATAGGCTACATTTCCAACGCAGCTAGTGAATTCATTTCCAAATCACCACTGTTCCTCTAAACATGAGGAGAATATAACTAGTTGGCCACACATTCTCACCAAGACTGTTATGCCATTGTGAAAGGCGTTATTCCAGCTGGTAACAATTACTAACATTATAAACTAAAGTTCGTCTGGATGCACTAGGATACCAGCCAAGTTCAGAATGGTACTGTAAGATAATAGATGACATCCTCTTTTGAAAATTGAGTTTCAAACAATGTTTGATATAACCACGTTCCTAAAGCCACACTGTATATGACATGTAAATTAACTTTTTGCATGATTCAATACAAAAATTCCACAAATAAAAGCGAGACTAAACAAACCCGCAATGCGACACAGCATAACGTTGATGAAGGCTCCGTTAGTCTGTTAAAACACTGCAACTCCAAAAGCATAAACAATTAACAAACAAAATACTTAAAACTAATGATGTTTCTACCTGATAAACCTGCAAACGTCGGTAGGCATCCCCCTCTCCCTCGCGGAGACTGAAGCCCCAGGGCGCGCCTCCGCGCACCATTACACAGATATAATCCCCAGTGCCCATGCCACACGCAACAGGCTCCCACCAAAACCGCTATCATCAAGTTGTCCGGAGTTGGACCAACAGGGCTCTATGAAACCAAGAGCAGCACAGTGCAGTATAATTCCCATCTGCAAATTATGCAGTCCAGCCCGCTCTGAAACGTCATTGCATATGGACCCGCCCGCGCGCGAATCAAGTGGTGCGCTCTTGGGAATGTCTTGTAGCAGCATTTGTATGGGGCCACAACTGAGTCGGGGTTTAACTTTTCATACAGTGTAGTTACGATAATAATGAGCTTTGATATCTCAATGTTGCCAATGTATCGATTATGCTGCCTGGTTTTCTAGTCAAATGGGTTTGTTGGCCTACGTAGCATGTTGGTTGAAAGTGATTTCATTGTTATTGTTTATCCCTATACATTTGTTGATTTAATTGCATTGTACATTTGAATAGCCTATTTGATGAACTTCTCAGTAAGTGCCTGCGCGGTCAATTTAGTCGAGTATGTGCATGTAAGGTGCCCAGGATATTGAGTGTACTGTTTTCCGGTTGGCAACGTCCTAGTATGTAACAGAATAGCAATACAGAATATAATATTCTGCGTATGTCTTGTGCATACGCAGGCCTAAACGAACACTAGCAAGTGGATAAACAGTGTATAAAGGCAAAATAGAATAGAATATAAACTTAATTCACTGATAGGGAATTTGTCTTGCGCATACGCAGGCCTAAACGAACACTAGCAAGTGAATACACACAATTCAGTCGCATGTAGCCAACAATTATGCAGAGATGAAACCATTGAATTAAAATGCTGATTTACTGTTGAAACGATGTTTTCACATTATAAATAATCTGCACAAAATCTGGATTTTTCTAGGTATAACCTGTTGGGACTAATTGTTATCTATGGGACTAATTGTTATCTATGACCGGTCTGGTCTCAATTACATACACCTTGTTGATAAGCCTTTTTAGATCACCTGACAGTGGATATCTATTCAGTGTTAGGCCTACTGCATAGTAAATGGAAAATGAATGCGATGGGCCTACCCATCTTCATTCATAGTTTACTGCCTAGTTTACATTTAGCCTACCCTATGCGGAACTGTCAGATCAGAACTGCACAATTTACTAGGCCTTGAAGAGTTTTATGCTACGCAATCGACGAAATGTGTATATGCTGACGTGTAGGGTGTCCCACAAATTGGCGCATGCGCACGTACCACTGAGAACTACAGAGCGATACATGGGGGTCGACACTAGTTAACACAGACAGAAAGTCATAAACCCCGCCTATTTCTAAAATGTATTTTCTTAAAATGTGATTTTAAACCTAATCCTAACCTTAGCCACACTGATAATATTATACCTAACCCTAACTTTAAATTAAGACCAAAAAGCAAATGTTTATTTTCATGAATTTCTACGATATAGGCAATTCTGACTTTGTGTCTGTGGTAACTAGTGAAAACCTTACTTAGGGACCGGTGTTGTGTTGGAGTTTGACGTGGCACTCTGCTTTCAGTATCAGGAATTCATAGAGAAGAGGACTCGGCAGATACTCCCAAGAATACAGGTAAATATTTTAATTGTACAGAAAAGCCTAAAGCGTTTTCTAAGAGGGTATTTTACCATCTATTGTCCTATTGAAATGCATGTTTATACCCGAATGCTTTCGCGGTGACGCGAAACTTAGTTTCATATTTAGAAATGTCCGTGTATGAACAACAATGTATCTATTAATGTATCTATTTGTAAATACATGGCGCCTATCCGAAACGCATGTTTTGTGCTGGATAGATGGATAGTGTTTCGGGTGCTGCAAACAACTGATATATTTTCTTGCAGTTGTTAAGTATAGGCGTCTGTCTGGTTGTAACTAAATGGTAGACTACCTAGGTTGGCGATGCTAAGATTTGTGTCGAAAATAACGGTCTTTGACGTGGCAATTCTGGGTAGTGGCTGAAGGACTCGTCTTACATCAATTTTTTTGCCATGACTGTCTCTTGATATTTCTGTCTTCATCTATTGACTTTTTTTCTCTCCCATTTTAATTACTTTTGCATTTGATAGCCTAACGTTACGAGTCGTAAACGGAGTTGTCTATGCGAGACAGCTGTTTATGTGGCCTTTAATGAAGCAAGATTTGACAACTGTGTGTAGGCTATAGTGTGGAAGATCATCAAGTCAAGCTTAGTTGGTTCTAAAATTGAGAAAATTTCAACTTTACCGTGAGATTAAAGGACAAAGAATAGCTTACAAGGTAGAACAATAATTTGTCTTTGCCATATAGCCTACTATTTTGCAGAAGGTGACAAACTTATTTAGGTCTATGTATTTATTTATAACCGTTGAACTTATTGAGAGGCCTATTGCTCAAGAATGATTTCACCAACACTACACATGAACTTGTGAACCTAGGCCTAAATCAGTCCTTGAATATTTTGAACAGCTAAAGATATCTATATAGGCCAAACATTTCTGCTCCAATATGTCATAATGAACCAACTATTCTCAAATGTTATCGCATATATTCATCTTGAGAGAATAGGAGGTCTTATTTTAGGTGCATTGTTGCAGGAAACTGACGTAAGTATAGTCACTCGTAGAATAGACTATGATGATGGAACCTTCTTGTCTCCAATGTTCTTGGGTCTTGTTGTCTTGAGGTCAAATATTGCTTGTTGGCGTTGCCTGGTGGAGAACCACTTATTTACCTCGTACTGGAGAAAAATACTGATGTTAGGTGTGAGAAAAGTACTGAAGACCACAAAGCTGTCAAGTGTGCAGTCTACGAAAAATGTTCCCAGGTGCAGTGTCAGTTGTTTCCAAATGCTGCGGTTGGTGAAACTCTGTTAGAGCTTTTGTAATCTCATTATTAAATTCAAACAACTTTTTCTTGGCCCTTCAAGTCAAGACTGCCTTAAATGATCTGCTTCCTCAGAAGAAAAAAAATTGCTTCCATCTTTGCAGGTTCTTGGATCTCCGCTATTTTGGAATGAGAAGACCTTAACAGCATTTAGGATGAGTCAGCAGGGTTATGTCGCCACGCCTCCGTACTCCCAGGCCCAGCCTGGGATGGGGGGCTACCCAGCTGGGTTTGGGAGTTCGCCTGCCCAGCCTCTCTATGGACACTATGGGGGACAACCTCAGTCATTCCCCACCCCACCGACAGGTAAAGCTGCATTCCTTTGGTCTCATTCCTCCTGTGAAGTCTTCTGTTTAGCTTTTCGTCTAATAGGTCTGATCTTGTCTTTGGGAAGTGTGCAATTCTTTATTAGTCCAGGAGCAATTGTTCGTTCATGATTCAAGCGATGCAGCTTCAATTGAAATGACAACATTTAAGCCTAGGGATATGTGTTTCTGTGCACGGCCATGATATCACCTCGTTATGTAGACGGTTTGCCGGTGTGTACTGTACTGTGTATGTAATGTGTGACCGCAAGAGGATGCTTTGTGGATAGCAATGCTATTGCCATAGCATTTAGATTAGACATTTTGCTCAGGTGCATACTTTGTATATATTGTGTGACCATAAGAGGATTCTTTACCTTCCAGGTGTGATGAAGCCTGTATCGTCCCCCTCCGGCATGCCTCCACCGCAGGTCTCCAGCCAGTATGGCTCAAATGTTCAGCAGAATGGAGCTAACCCTCAAAGGTAACAGAGCCTACTCCACCGAACAGAGTCCATTTACCACAATAACATTCTAATGGTCCAATTCTACCCTTCTCCCTGAATTATGCACTTGATCTATTCACCTCATGGAATTTAATTAAATGTAAAAGGAATGGACTGGTGTAATACATATGATAGAAACACCCTCTAGCCCATGTTAACACCAAGTCATTGCTTTCAAACCCATGAGTGGGAGGGAGCAAGTGCACACTTCGGGTTAAAGAATTGGAAGGCAACTATGGCTGCATCCCAATACTCTTAGTGCATTCCTTCTTCCATTTTCTTCAAGTCCACTTATAGGTAAATGGACTGAATTGTTGTTGTTTTTTACTTCTGAGAAGAAGCAAGGGAAGGAAGCTAATTGATACTGTTGGAACAGACAAAATATTTAGCTCTTTGTTTACTGTCCTCCAGGTACCCTGCCCCTCCTTCTGCTGCTGCCCCTCCGTATGGACAACCCCCTCATTCCCAGTACCACAGCATGGCCCCCCAGGCCCCAGCCCCAGCACAGCAGCTCACCAATCAGATGGGTTCCATGAACCTCGGATATGGTAAATAATCACTGTTTGTAGAACTCGAGTGTTGTATTGGGAATGGTTAGGGGGGGTGGCATCCACTTCAGCAAGTAAAGATTCAAACCAACTCCCAAACAAGTTAAAAAAGCAAACAGCCAAGTAAACAGTAGAACAGAAGCTTTTGGGTAGATCTACTATTCTTACTAGTGTTATGGATTCTTACTAGTGTTAGTCTATATATTTATGGCTTTGTCAACTTCGGTAAACTAGCATGCAGTATGTTATTGTTAGGCTTCATTCATGCAGTGTGTTGAAAGTTGTTCACCCTCCCCCTGCATTTCCTGCAGGTCCAGGGCCCATGCAGATCCCTCAGGCACCCCCCACCTCTCCCCCAGTCCAGCAGCCATTCCAGACCTCACCTCCTCCAACCATGGGACACTCAACCCTGGGCCCCCATTCACCTCAGATGGCTCCCCCACAGTTGCCCCTAGCTGGCCCATCTATGGGTGGCCCCCCACCCATGGGAGGCACGGGTAGGCCCTTCCCAGGCCCACCCCCTCCAGGCGCTGGGGGCTTCCAGCAACCTGGTCCTGGAGCAGCTGGACCACCAGGATACCCTCAGCAACCACAAGGTACAGAAAGCGCAGTTACCTGGGGCTAAGTGCTGATCACTTCAAAGCTTTATGGATTTGTAGGGCCAGTTTCCTGGAGCCAGATTAAGCCTATTCCTGGATTAAAACATGGTTTTCAGAAATAATCTGTGTCCTAGGATATGGTAACTCACTGTGGTAGTCAAGCTTATCTTATTGAAGGTGGTGAGTAGTGTGTACAAATTGCTTTTGGAGTAATGTACCACTTAGTGTGTGCTTGCCAATAGGATTGCACCAGGTGTAGGTCACCAGAGCCTTACACTGAGGCATGGTCTGTGTGTCAGGTCCGTTTGGGGGGCAGATGGCAGGACCCGGGATGGCGGGACCAGGGATGTCTGGCCCCTTCCAAGGTGGGGCAGCCCAAATGGCCGGGCCACCTCAGAAAAAGCTGGACCCTGACTCCATCCCTAGCACAGTGAGTTTATATTTAATTATCGTGTGACTTCACGTCTTTGCATACCAGCATGCCATTTCACATGTTTCCTAGCTACCTCCAAGTCAGTATTCCCTATAAAGACAACTCTTTAGAAGATCTGGCTACTGCACACACAGTATAGGCCCAGCATAGACATGTGAGCAGCCCAATTGTATTATATCACCTCCCCAAATTACCCTATGGATCATATTGAATGTGTCTTATTTGGATGAAATATATGACAGACAAATTATGAAGTCAACCCTGTGTCTCGTAGTTAAACCCACAAAATGTTTGACTGATTGTGCTTGGAATGTTCATGCAAACTACAAAGCAACAGCAGCATGTGAATTTCTACGATACCAATACGTCTCCTTTACCACACACATCCAGCAAAAACTGACCGAGTGGAACTGATTGAAAGCTTTCACCCACAGCCTAACTGTTTGTCAAGGAAATGGCTCTTTCACTGACAATGCACCTCTCTGGTTTAGACACAAGTCACTGAGGACGACCAAGCCAAACGAGGGGGACAGGTGTACACCACAAACCTCAGGGGCCAGGTTCCCCCACTGGTCACTACTGACTATACTGTACAGGACCAAGGTAAGGCACAGGAATACCAGTGTACTGGAAACACAAACCTGTCTGTGTCATTGAACAGAACTAACCTTACTTCAACACACTTAACATAGCTTTTTGTCCAGTCCATCACTAGCACACCTGACTCAACTAATCAAGGGCTTTGTGATTACTTGACTAGTTGAATCAGGTTTGTTTGTGCTGGGATGGAACAAAAATGTGCAGTTGTGAGGTTCCCCAAGGAATGGATTAGTAAAACGTGACACAGATGACTTTGAACAATACCGTAATAGCCTTAGCTCAAACATACACTTCTGAAATACATTTTAATGGCAACATGGGGAACATAATAGGGGTGTATTCATTAGTGCACACCGTAGCAAACTGTAGCAAAACATTTTCACAAGGGAAACTTTTTTTCAACGAAAACTAGATTTTCTTAGGTAGGTCCCTCCCCATTTCGGCCTGTTTGGTTCCTAGTGAGTAGACCCCTGCTCTACCTCAAACAAATACCTCCAGAAGCCAGTAATATAACAGCTGTCTTTCAGACACAAACCTTTAGATGAGATTCCATTTTTTTTAAACTTTGTATTTACTTTACCCTTTGATCTCGTTTAAGCTGCGGCACTTCAAATTTGTCAAACTTAAACCTTTCTGTCTCATAAAAATGTTTTAACCACAAAAACAAAATTCACGGTAATGTTCTCTTCGAGTGCAACTTTACCTGGAAATGGCAAGGGAAATACTGATTTGTTATGGTTTAAGTGGTAATGTTTGATACTGTACTTAAAATGTATGAATAAGAACACTGAATACTGTATTTCTTTGTAAAAAGACAATGTAAAAGAAAGTAAGTTATTTACAGCCTGATGAATCTTTTAAAGGGAAGAACTGAACGATATTGTGACAAATGTAAGGCTTTATGCGTAACACAAATGCAAACATGTTTAAAATGTATTTATATTTTCTTGAATCAAACCAATATGAGTACATTGGTTACTCTCTAACTTTAATTGAACTATTTAAAAAAACGTTTTCTGTTTCCATTTCTTCATCCTCTTTAGGAAACGCCAGTCCAAGGTTCATGCGTTGCACCACCTACTCTTTCCCCTGCACGGCTGACCTGGCCAAGCAGTGCCAAGTTCCCCTGGGCGCCATCATCAAACCTTTCGCCACGGTGCCAAAGAATGAGGTAGGCCTTATCCTGTGTATGTTTGCAGAGATTATCCACATTGTTTTATAAAGTCAGACCACTAAACCGCTTATGAATTCTGAAACCAAGATATTTAAAGCCAGACACGACCAAAACCACAAGTACTACAGTATGTTTTTCATTTGGGGAGGGAGACACTAGCACTTTTAGTTTTCCTCAATGACTCGTAGACGTATTATTTCCTTAAAAAATATACTGTATGTCCAAGTGCTGTAAACGTTTCAAAGTGTCCCGTGGACAATCTGCATTTGGATCCTGTGTGGTCCCAGGAATCCTGCCTTAGATATTCTTCCCCTCACTTTGTCTTCGGTGCCAAAGGGCCTTTTTAGGCAATGCTACTGTAGCTTTCTACGAGACAGAGAGAAAGAGCTAATTAGCTAATGTCAAGATCTGCGTGGACCACAGAACATGAAAGCGGTTCAACAAAGCAATCCAGTGCACTGCCTTCTCAGGTTAGCGCTCAATGTCCAGACAGTGCTAGCATGATTCCCATAGTAGGAAGCTAACGCCCTGCATGGATTCCATATCAAACAAGCTAGCACATTAACAACATGTTAGCATTATTGTTTTGTTTTGTTTGGGATGAATGACCTCACTGCACAAGCACTCAAGTCTTAACTTTAAACTCTTGTATTGCACTTGGACTTATTATTACAAAATATATAATTCAGCTGCACGTCCCCTTTGGATGAACTACTTGGTTGCATTTAAATCTGTCTGCATGTGGAGTTTAATGGTCTTGGAGCCCAAATGAAAAACATACTGTAGTACTTGTTTATATACTGTTGTGTGTAAAGGCCTCCCTTCAAGAAAGAGCAGAAATCAAGGGGGTCTTATTGGGACAATTCAATGTGCTTTTAGGTTAGATTTATAGCCCTGAGACAATGTTTTGGTTGTTAGGCTACAATATTTTGGATAGTATATCATTTCAGTGATGCTTAATGTAAATAGTTTGAAGTAGTTGAACGAGGCTTGAATCTTAGATTTACTTGAGGATATAAACTTGTGCTAAGATTTGGCTATTTGGCCGTGCACATGTGAATATAGCATGTGCACACAGTTTGTTTTGTTTTCCCTAATTAATGTTTGTGGGTGTACAGACTTTGTGCATGTAATTTATGTCATATGTTTCCATGGGTTGGTTTGTGTGTGTGTGTGGGCTTGATAAGCTATAGGCACAACTTTACCATCTGTATTCCTGCACATCCCCACTCAGCAGGAAAAATATTTCATCCTTACATTAAACAAAGCCTTATTCGCCCAGAAACGTTCTGCTATAGACAAATGTAATGCAGCTATTTACATACATGGGACATGAGATTGATACGTTTCTGGAGAGCGAATCTGCTTTGTGTATTGTAACCGCACGTGTTGAGTTTGGACTATAATAACTGTTTTGAAGGTATAGATGAGATCACCCACAATGTTTAGACTAAATGCTTTATGGCGGAGTGTGGGTCTACACGGGTAAAGATCTTGATAGAACTCACACTTGTTTAACACGGCAACAACTTCACATTTCTAGACTGTTTGGTCTTGTTTTCAATTTCCACAAAAGCTCAGTTTTAAAGGCAAGATTTGAATGCAAAGTAAAGCAAAATGTAACTGTTAGGATGATTGTATATTCGGGCTCCCGAGTGGCGCAGCGGTCTAAGGCGCAGCAGTCTAAGGCACTGCATCTCAGTGCTAGAGGCGTCACTACAGACCCTGGTTTGATTCCAGGCTGTATCACAATCCGGCTGTGATTGGAGTCACATAGGGCGGCGCACAATTGTCCCAGCGTCGGCCGGGGTAGGCAGTCATTGTAAATAAGAATTTGTTCTTAACTGACTTGCCTAGTTAAATATAAACATTAAAAAACAATTGCTGAGGCGCAAACTGAAGCCTGGGAAATGGCTCCACCTTTGGCCAAGGGAGCCACTACAGCCCAACTACCCAGGAGGACTGGCACACGTAGACTTTTGTCTAATCAGCCTCAGTTGTGACACACTGGCAGAGAGCACATGAGCACAGTGTTTTAAATCACTCTAAGGTTGGGTTAAGGATTTGATCAAAGTAAAAAAATGTTTACTGCATCCTGGTTGTATTTACTGATATATTATCCAGTCAATGACTGCAACAACTATGCTTCTGTTGGTGTATAGCTGGTGCTGCCCTGTAGTATAAACTGGTGAAGATAATGCATGGTAATCATAGTTAACCTGAAGCCTGTAAGTTTCACCCAAACTACCAAATAAGGCATCGTCTATGTACAGTTGACTATGGGTCAATGCTATAACGAATCCTTGGGACGTCCCTACCCTATCCCTAACCTTAACCATAACCCTTTCTTAACCTTAACCTTAACTATTTTACATTTTAGCTTCAATGGGGTCGGGACATCCCAACGATCCCGGATAGGACGGACCGTTGACAATGGGCTACAGTTGACTCCAAAACAAAACGTGTGACTGCTGTCTTATGAGACTATTTCCTCTGTTCTGTTGTGTGGCCCAGACTCCTCTCTACGTCGTGAACCATGGTGAGACCGGCCCGATCCGCTGTAACCGCTGCAAGGCCTACATGTGTCCCAACATGCAGTTCATCGACGGCGGCCGCCGCTACCAGTGCGGCTTCTGCAACTGCGTCAACGAAGGTACGTCCACCCCTAACAAGGAGGGGATGGGGGACCTTATTGGGTAATAATGGTCTGTGGTTATGGATCTGACCAACCTTTTGGAGCTCAAAGCTAAAAAAATTAATCTTTAATTTGGGTAACTTATATTAGCCAAGATTTAAATGATAGTTGTTGGAGTTATTCCTCATATTTCTGATATAAGGTCTGACCAGTGCTTTGGGGTAGTTTTGAACCCTATTTTACATAGAAACTAATGCACTCGGGTAGGGGACACTATGCCTGAGAAATGCATTTAGGGCATGGTTGCTACGCAGAGGCAATATTATGTTTGGGGTATGTTTTTGTCACCACTGCTAAAACACGTTATTTTGTTCTCTCACAGTGCCAGCCTTTTATTTCCAACACCTGGACCACATGGGCAGAAGGGTGGATTTATATGAGAGGCCAGAGCTGTCGCTGGGGTCATATGAGTTCGAAGCCACCCTGGATTACTGCAAGGTAAGCAATGCTCTACCATTGTGGTTTAAATTAACCTTCATAGTGAACCTTATGTATGATATTGTTTCATTTTATACAAATGGAGAGAAATTGGCAGTTGGTAAAATAACTACTTTGAATTACTTTTGTATGGATGAAAAGTAACATGTGTTTCAATCAATATTCTTAGCAGTTTATATGTCGCCAAAAGCCTACAATATGAATTGACATAGGGGAAAGCTGTGATGGTACATGGAACAGAACGTATAAAACTTGCCAAACTAATGCTTGGCAAGAGTCTATCTCTTAAAGACTTGTATGAAGTGAAAGTGATTAGCGTCTCCAGTCCCAGTGGTTTCGCTGAGTAGGGTCTAGAAAGTGTGTAGAGGGAGTAGGTGCTTACCTCTTGGCAGAGACTGCATTCTTCATTCAGCACCAGATGATTAGAAAGGAGCACAGAGTACAGGCAAAAGCATGTTCTGTTCATTCAACACCACCTCATTAAAGCCAAAAGAGCTCAATATGTTCTCCATTTTGTTTCGCTCTGTGGGGTGATCTTTTCTTGTACATTCTGGGTAGAGGTAGGTGGGGGGCTAGCAACACCACGTTTCGCTACTGAAGCCGTCTTGTTACTTCAGTCTGTTTATTAATATTTGGAAATGTAGTTCCGACCAGCTTTCAGCGCAAGCATCCGAGGTGAGGTGAGCCGAGTCAGACTGTTACCGTGGAAACAAAACAACGGCCCGTGCTGTCTCCTTCATCCACATTCCTAACAAATGGAGGGCATAGTCCTAACTGCTCCAAGATCCAAGCAACTGTAAGCTTAAAACAGAGAAAGTAATGGCTGTGGTGGAGGGATACACAGGGCAAAAACATGCGAGGAAGAGAGAATATTGGCCAAAAATTGGGGTCCAATGACCAATGTAGTTTTGATAAGAGTAGCCTACAAGTTTGATCTAAAGTTGGGGTACAGATTTGACGTCTCTGGTGTGTTGACGTTGTTATGTGTTTGACCTTGGAGGCAGGGTCAATTGTGTTGATTTTATGGTATAAGTGAACAATAGTTGTTTTGTGTTTCAGGGTTTTAAAACGGCATTGTTTTAGACAGTCAAGCACATTTTAAACCGCAAATATGAGCAAATTAAAGAAAAGGTACAGTAACACAGTAGCTGAATTTAAGTTGTAATTCAAAATGTCCTCTCTCTCTTTCAGAACAACAAGCCAGCCAGTCCTCCGGCGTACATCTTCATGATCGACGTGTCCTATGCCAACATCAAGAGCGGACTAGTCAGACTGGTGTGTGGGGAGCTGAAGACCCTGCTAGACAACCTGCCCAGGTACACACATAACACAACACACACACACGGTATCAAACACTGACCTCTCATAATCAAGGAATGGAGCCTTGAACCACCTGCATTTGAGCACTTTCTGGAAACTGGCCCAATATCTCTCTGCCTACAGCCTAGCTCCAAGGTCTTTTTTATATAGGATCTGCCAACTTGGAGTGAGACACACTACATAGCCTTGGAGGTTACTGTGAAATGACGTAAGCTGTGTCCAATGTGAGAATCCTTTATACAATGCCCTGCCCTCCAAGGGATTAGCATTGGATAACTGAAGTCTCGAGTCAGAGAGAAACCACATTAGATTTATAGAAGTGTTTCGACACCCCCATCACCCATAATGTGTAGCTTGGTGGTTTGATATTTGGAGTGGGTTGCAGACCACCAGATACAGTATAGCCTACACTACCTCACACTTTGCTGTCAACACATCTTCAGGGGGGGCCATATGTTCGCCTGAGCTTCACTGTGCTGCCATCGCCTCAGGGTGTAACAGAATACTACTGGAAAGCCGCGATACCTTGCCAAATATGGTGGTCCCATATGTACAAGGCAAAGAAGAAAGCATTAAGCCAAATATTCAAGTATCTCATCAGTTGAAAATTCTTGCCTGAAGGTTGTGGGGGTGGGATGGGGGAGATGCTAGGGGAAGGGAAAGAAGAAGGAGGGGGGAGGAGGGCGGGCTGAAAATGTTATGGCGCAGTGCAGACTCTAACCCTGAATCACGTCCAAGACACAAGAAGTCCGCGGCACAGATGGGTCTGATTTTGGCTGTTTTATGTGGGTCGCCAGCAAGACATAAGGTTTTGATTTACCATCGAGAAACGGATGATATACTTCACCTGGACTTTCCTAAAATAACTACCTAACCTCCAAAACGGTTAGGTAGTGCTCTCCAAATGTTTTTAAATTACCTTTCTTCCCTGTTCTCCATTGTGAGGCTTTGCTCTCTCGTGCATTGAAACTAATGGAAAACATGTTGAAAACCCAACACTTTTATAAGGATCAGTAACGCTGCCGAAATAGCCACATTTTTGCTTCTAGCTTGCTACGGGGGAAAAGGGGCTCCAAGAAAGCACAAGCAGGTGTAGACTAAATCCTGTGGTATTTTCTCTATCATTTAATATTTCATCACTGTTACTCAGTATGAAAACAAGCAATACAAAGCTGCATTGCCTGACTGCTTCTCTTGTCAGTTCTTGTGAATGATATTGACATAAGTCTGTTCTATGGGACTCATCATTTTACATATGGCAGATTTAGTTAGAACGAACCCCTCATTTGTACTGGGTTAAGGTGCATGTTCTATACTGCTCTGTGTTCAGAAAGAAAGGGAGACAAACCCCAGTTGCCCCTTTTCAGATGGGGAATGCTTTTACACATTGTTTGGTCACACTTTATTTGGATAGTCCATCTGTAGATGCTCTACAGATGGTCACACTATCAACAAACTATCTGTTGATAAGCAATTGCTTGCTAAGGTTACGGTTAGGTTTAGAATAAGGGTAAGGGTTAGAGATACGGTTAAGTTTATGGCTAGGGTTAGTAGATAGTTGAAATGTTACTCATACTCGTCAAAACAGAGGTGTATATAAAGTAGATTTTATCTCGACTGCGTGGTATTCTCCCCAGTCCATGAAAATGAAAGCGAGATCTGCAAAGGGAGAAAAACAGTCATATATTTCACTGACAGTTTATTATTCATGTAATTGAACTTCTGTTGAGGCATGAGTTGGAGAGGGGTGTTCGTGAGAGAAAGAGAAGGAAATTGTGTGTGGACATTCAATCACATTACATCAGAGATAGCAGTCATCTTAATTGAAAGCATATGAGGCCCCTTTTTTCCTTCACCTATCAGTACTTTGCCCTGAAGAAAAACTCTTCCTCTCCTTAACCCCCCGACTGGGTGATGGCCCTTTTTTTTTATTGGCTGAGTGGTGGATGCTGGAAGAAGTGCCCATCTCCGGAATGAGACCCTCTCCTCCAATGTGTTTTTCTTTGCTGTAAAAAAGCGTTTCTGCACCCAGGAATGTTTTTAGCGCATCGGTTGCTTACTCTAAAACTTCACTGTGATTTTATATGGCGGGAAGTTGTTTTGCTAGATCAAATAAATATACGAAGGTCAGAAAAACCGGGCATGAGATGGGGCCTTTGACGTAGTGACATCGGAGAGGTTGAAGGGAAGCCATTAGCTCTCTAATTTAACATGACCTATTGAAGCATCCATAACCAAAACATGGACCATAAGGTGAGGAGCAATTACATAGGTCAACTTTGACCTGGCTGTCCCCTATCATGTTGTACTGTATGCATATTTGGCTGAAGCTAACATGACTGTGTTCAAATACAATTTGAAATCTTTCAAATTCGTTGAGCGTTTGCTTTAGCCTGCCTGGAGTGCCAGATGGGCAGATTTTACACTTTGGGGATTATTGTATTGTTTCCATTACGCTAGGAAAGTTCAATCAAAGACGGTTGAAGTATTTTAAAGTTATTTCAAATAGTGTTTTAAGCCAGGCCCGGTAGCTAACACTGCATACATGCATACAGTGTGTGTATCTGCATTAATTTGTTATCTGTTCATGTCATATGTTTAGAATACAACTTCAGAATAGGGGATTTATCTGCGGTTTATTGGCCTCCATGTCAGAGTGCATAAGCAATTTATAACAACTTAGTGATTACTTAATCTATGCTGTAACATAGTGTCCTCTAATGACCAGCATGTTTAGTTAAAATAAAAACTATTCTGAAAGGCTATCTCTCTCTTCATCTAGCGTGGTCCCAAATCTGTATATGTTTTAGGCAAATATTATCAACGACATGACTATCATTCATGACTCATGCCAGGCTACCGCTGCTCTCTCTCTGTAATGACACTAACACTCATCCCCCACTTTCCCCCCTCTTCCTCCCCCACAGAGAGGATGGTGCTGAGAGCTCGATGGTGAAGGTGGGCTTCGTCACTTACAACAAGATCCTACATTTCTACAACGTGAAGAGTGCCCTGGCCCAGCCCCAGATGATGGTGGTGTCCGACACGGCCGAGATGTTTGTCCCGCTGCTCGACGGCTTCCTCGTCAACTTCCAGGAGTCTCGCGCCGTCATCAACAAGTAAGGGCAGGGGCACACCTCTGACATGAGAATTGATTTGAGTAGTGATCCTTGATGGCATATTTTCTAATATTTAGACATGTTAGTTAGTGTGAATGGATAGCAATAGGCAGATCATTGGTAATGTTAGGAATCTGAACCTTTTGAAGGAGGCATTGACAATATTTTGCCTATGTAGCCCAATGGGGGGGGGGGGAGAGAGAACAGGATGATCTCTGCACACCGTGATCTATACGCCAAAGTGTGACAACTTGATGCAGACCAAAGGGTGAACATTCTGTCTGAATCAATTTGACTTTGGAGCGCAGTGGGTTTAGAGTGGTCCCTTTCTTTTTGCTAAACATATATATTCTTTATCTCCAGCTCCTTCTCAAAGCCTGTGGATGTGCATCTATTTATGTGTTTATTTCTGAGGAACATTGTTTTTATGTGGTAAAAACAATCGTTGAATGACAGCATTTGATTATCTTGCCGATCAGAAGGTTTCCAAAGCATAATTTTCTCCATATCTTTAGTTTGAGTGGTTTTCATCACAAACGTCAAGATAATGTTGAAAAACAGTTGCTTCCAGAGAAGTGGTCCCTGGAAGCATTTTATATTAAAAAGACTCATGTGGATGCATATGGAAAATGGTCTTATCTATGCAGTTGTGTATGGCACAGCACCAAAGTGATTTATTACCACTTGATATTTTGGTATGTCTATGTCAAAGTACATGGCGGTAGTCCATCTCAAACAGGGACCTTTGGCTAAATCTCTTACTGGGAGATCAACCAGTTTGTTTTTCTAAAGAACTGACTCATTTTTCTCTACTTGTACAATATAATTAAACAAATGTGAGTTGAGTCCTTGGTTTAGATCCAAATATGACTTTGGAAGAATTTTGTTGTTGCTAGAAAGGGGTTTTATCTATTGAATGAGCTGAGACTCTTCTAAACTGTCTATGTGCATGATACTCCCCCAATGATCTGTGGAATTGTAAGGACAATACCGTTGGATCTAACCACTGGCTGTCCCAGTAATCTAAAATAATTTCCTTTCCTCATCTCTCTTCCTTGAAAAACCACACAATTAAAATAACTGGATGGACATTGACCGTAGTACTTACACCTATCACCTCCTTTCAGATTAGCAGTCAAAGGAAAGGAGGCAATGAAACAAAGCTATTATAACACAATTGGGACAGAGCAAATTGTGTGTACTAAGTGTTGAACACAATGTACCAGAGGTGAATGATTGTGACACTGTCCCTCTTTCTTACTCCTCTCTAGTCTCCTGGACCAGATCCCTGACATGTTTGCAGACACCAACGAGAGTGAGACAGTCTTTGCCCCCGTCATCCAGGCTGGGGTAGAGGCACTCAAGGTGAGAGGCTGGATGTCAACTCCGTCACACACGAGGGAATGGGAGATGGATAGCAGGCCAACTGTTACTTTGTCCAGGCGGTGATGGACTCTAAGTACCCAATAACCTCTTTTTGATTTCATTACAATCATTTATTTACATAGGGACAGATAGAAAAACACTGGCACATTGAAATGAGAAGACGACAGATTAAAAGACAACAGACCCACATAATAAGATGATACAGTGCATTGTGATGTCATATATTAGATGCTTATCTTAACTTTAAAGATAGAGGAATTAGAATAGTCCCTTTACAACCAACTCTATCCCCAAAAAAGGGATTGTTTTCTTTTGTCAACATAGTCCGTTATACCGTGCGTTCTCAGTTGGCATCGTGCATTAAACAGTTTTTCCATCAACCCAATGACTCGGCAACTTTCCGTTTAGCTTCCTAATAGAACTGTTTATTTAATCAGCTCCAACTGAATTTTTCCCAACGACTTGCCTTCAGTTTGAATGAATGTGTGGTAGAGGTCACATAATTTCAGATGCTAACCGACAGCCTTGCAGAAAATCAAATCAAATTGTATTTGTCACATGCGCCGTGAAATGCTTACTTACAAGCCCTTAACCAACAATGCAGTTCAAGAAATGGAGTTAAGAAAATATTTACTAAATAAACTAAAGTAAAAAATGAATAGAAAAATTAACACAATAACGAGGCTATATACAGGGGGTACCGGTACCGAGTCAATGTAGAGGTTGGTCGAGGTAATTTGTACATGTAGGTAGGGGTAAAGTGACTTCAGAGATAAGAAACAGCGAGTAGCAGCAGTGTAAAAACAAAGGGAGGGAGGGGGGGGGGGGGGGTCAATGTAAAATAGTCCGGGTGGCCATTTGATTAATTGTTCAGCAGTCTTATGGCTTGGGGGTAGAAGCTGTTAAGGAGCCTTTTGGACCTAGACTTGGCACTCCGGTACCGCTTGCCGTGCGGTAGCAGAGAACAGTCTATGACTTGGGGGCTGGAGTCTTTGACAACTTTTTGGCCCTTCCTCTGACACTGCCTGATATAGAGGTCCTGGATGGCAGGAAGCTTGGCCCCAGTGATGTACTGGGCCGTATGCACTACCCTCTGTAGCGCCTTACGGTCGGATGCCGAGCAGTTGCCATACCAGGCGGCGATGCAACCGATCAGGATGCTCTCAATGGTGCAGCTGTATAACTTTTTGAGGATCTGGGGACCCATGCCAAATCTTTTCAGTTTCCTGAGGGGTTGTCGTGCCCTCTTCATGACTGCCTTGGTGTGTTTGGACCATGATCGTTTGTTGGTGACGTGGACATCAAGGAACTTGAAACTCTTGACCCACTCTACTACAGCCCCGTCGATGTAAATGGGGGCATGTTCGGGCCGCCTTTTCCTGTAGTCCACGATCAGCTCCTTTGTCTTGCTCACGTGGAGGGAGATGTTGTCCTGGCACCACACTGCCAGGTCTCTGACCTCCCGCTCGTCGTTGAACAGGGAGTACAGGAGGGGACTAAGCACGCACCATCATTAAGTTTCCTGACGATTAGCGTGGCAGTTGTGTTGTAGCCTACCCTTACCACCTGGGGGCGGCCCGTCAGGAAGTCCAGGATCCAGTTGCAGAGGGAGGTGTTCAGTCCCGGGGTCCTTAACTTAGTGCCCACAAAGCTCATCACTATGGTGTGGAACGTTGAGCTGTAGTCAATGAACAGCATTCTCACATAGGTGTTCCTTTTGTCCAGGTGGGAAAATGCGGGTATGATGGTGAGTCGCAACTAATTTGGGTCAGTAAGACCATTGACTCTGTTGATTAAGCAATCTGTTGACCTAAACTTAAACCCTAGAATCCCCTCACTGAACGAGAACATGATGAGACGCATCCAGGTCAAACCAATGTTGTTCCCTTCATTGAAACGGTCACACAAGGAAATAAATGCACGTCCACACCTTTTTCCTGTATTGGCTCTCTCCTGTTACCTCTCTGTAATGTGATTATTTATTTTTGTCCTCTACAGACAGCAGAATGCAGCGGCAAGCTGTTCATCTTCCACTCCTCCATCCCCACCGCCGAGGCCCCTGGGAAACTGAAGAACAGGGATGACAAGAAGCTGATCAACACAGAGAAAGAGAAGGTGAAGCAAAATTGCTTGTCTTTTACATTTAAAACAGACTTTAAGTGCACCATATTATCATTGGCTATTACATTTTTTTGAGTGTGTGAATAGCTTGCTTTCTAACGTGTGTGGTTGTGTTGTTTGGGTCCCCTGCGGTGTCTTAGACTCTGTTCCAGCCCCAGAAGGGTGTGTATGAGCAGCTCTCCAAGGACTGTGTGTCTCAGGGTTGCAGCGTGGATCTGTTCATCTTCCCCAGCCAGTATGTGGACATCGCCACCATGGGAGACGTCCCCACACACACAGGAGGCTCCATTTTCAAGTATAGCAACTTCCAGGTATACACAAACAGTATGGCATACAACTGCACAATACAGTTTAAGTTTTTACATTTTAGTCATTTAGCAGACTCTTAACCAGAAGGACTTGCAGGCGCAATTAGTGTTAAGTGCCTTGCCCAAGGGCACATAAACATATTTTTCACCTAGTCAGCTCAGGGATTCAAACCAGCCACCTGTCGGTTATTGGCCCAACGCTCTTAACTGCTAAGCTACCTGTCACCCAGTTCCCCAAAAGCGTTCCTTTTATGCCACAGAACATCTTATTTTAAACTGCCATTTGAGTCCATGAATCATTCTCTTATTGGACAAATGAAATTACTTGCATTACATTAAATGCATTAGAACCCATATCTCATTCAGATCTTAGCACTGGACCAATATTCCATGGAGTGTAATTGGGGAAACTGTCACCTTGTGGTTGACTGTGTCACTACCTGTGTATTTCAGGTGGAGATGGATGGAGAGCATTTCTTGAGTGACCTGAGGAAGGATGTGGAGAAGGCCATCGGGTTTGACGCCATCATGAGAGTCCGCACCAGCACAGGTAATTCAGTCATTGAATGTTTTTTAGTGTATGAACTCATTCTCATTGCACTTGTATGTACTTAAAAAAAATGAGAAAAAGATGTACAGTGTAGAATTTAAGAAAATTAAATAAAATTTGTTTCCAACATTTTTACATAGGCAGATAATTCCATTGCTTAAATGATGCATTGATGGCCTCCCGAGTGGCGCAGCAGTCTAAGGCACTGTATCGCAGCGCTTGAGGCGTCACTACAGACCTGAGTTCAATCCCAGGCTGTGTCACAACCGGCCATGACCGGGAGTCCCATAGGGCGGCGCACAATTGGCCCAGCTTCGTCAGGGTTGGGGGAGGTTTTGGCCAGGGGGGCTTTACTTGGCTCATCGCGCTCTAGCGACTCCTTGTGGCGGGCCCGGGTGCCTGCAGGCTGACTTTGGTCGTCAAATGAACAGTGTTTCCTCTGACACATTGGTGCAGCTTGCGGGTGGGTGTTAAGAAGTGCAGTTTGGCGGGTCATTTTTCGGAGGACGCATGATTTGACCTTGGGGAGTTGCAGCGATCGCAATTGGAAATCACGAAATTAGGTGAAAAAAAAAAAAGGTATTTGAGGTAAGATTTGTTTTACTACTGCTGGACTGTATTGCACTTCAAGACACTAACTCATAGTTTTCCCTTCTCTCCTGCCAGGCTTCAGGGCTACAAACTTCTTTGGTGCTATCCACATGAACAACACCACAGACGTGGAGATGGCTGCCGTGGACTGTGACAAGGCTGTGACGGTGGAGTTCAAACACGACGACAAACTTAGTGAGGAGACGGGCGCTCTCATGCAGGTGTGTCTCACACACACGACTCAAAAAACTAACGCTAAATTGTTTTGCTGAAATCATATCTCAATCTGCTGTTTTAATGGTTACCACTAATCAGCTATTTAGGTTCACTGCAAAGTGGATATTTGACTGCAACGAAAATACAGATATGCATCCCATTCACTATGTGTGTTTTCAGGCAAGGGTTCCACAAAGCCTTAAACATCCTACTCTGATATGTAAGACTAAAATCCTGACAGTCTTTTGACCCACTAACGGCTTCTGTGTGTTCTGTTTCCCAGTGTGCCTTGCTGTACACGACCGTCAGCGGCCAGCGGCGTCTGCGGATCCACAACCTCAGTTTGAACTGCAGCGCCCAGCTGTCTGAGTTATACAAGAGCTGTGAGACGGACGCCCTCATCAACTTCTTCGCCAAGTCAGGTGACTACACCCATCAGCGTATTACTGTATTTAGGTGTGTTGTGTTCAGTAAGGGCCAAATGAGAGAAATGTCCTATAAATCCACTTCTCATCTAGGCATAATGAATGAGATTCAATATAAATAATCTATCAGTTCAAATAACGAGTTAAGGACATGTTCCAGAACTTTGGCGACTACTAAGTATGTGTATAAACCTTTGGGCTGGATGTGTCCGTGTAGTTCATACATGTGTAATCTATGAGCAGAATTACTGTCTTAACTCAATTAGCCACGAAATCCCTAGTTTGAAAGCGACAGTTTTTCTGGAAGCTGTGCTGCATCATAGCAAGAGGCACATGATGCACACACAGCAGAGCAAGTGCGAGGGTAATGACGTGGTGCACATATCTGCAAATATGTGACATGGTACGCAATTTACGGAGTCCACTTGGCTCGTGAGCGCTACTTTCAGAACTACCGGCTAAAAGGTATACAAAAGCACCAGAGAATCTCTTTAATTAAATAGTTAGTCTGCTCATTGGCTGTAACATAGCTGGCTGGTGTGTTATTCTGCATTATACAGCATACTAACTGTTTATGTAGATCTATATCTGCTTAAGTCGGCTCATGACTTGTGGCTGCAACATTGCTGGTCGATGGTGTCATAATTCTATTTTAGTTAAATACACCTCATTCATCACTTTAGCTACCTGATTCCCGGTATATGTAAATCACCTTAAAAGATACCTAAGAGAAGTAACTTGTTCAAAACCAGAACCATATGCCTCTCATAAAATATTAGTGACAAGCAAACTTGTTGTATGACATGAGAGCACTTCAGACAGCTTTAGTGTGGGAACACAGTTACTGACCTCCAAATGCCCTCTAGCTCTCCCTTCATCCCCTCTCTCACAGCGTACCGTGCCATGCTGAACCAGCCCCTGAAGACGGTGAGGGAGATCCTGGTCAACCAGACGGCCCACATGCTAGCTTGCTACAGGAAAAACTGTGCCAGTCCCTCCGCTGCCAGCCAGGTCAGTGGCACAGAACACTGTGGACAACTTTCATAGAATAAAACGTTGTTCATTTTGTTACTTGTCTTTGTGTTGTGGTCGCATTTTACAAATGCAGTGGTGTGATATAACTCCTAGGCTGGTGACATTTCAAGTATCTAGTTTCAAAGAAGTGTACAAACATCCAGTAACTTACAGGTGCAGGGTACAAAAGTAAACTGATGAACGAAAGACCGATGGATTCCTGCACATTTTGATTCCTACTGCAGTTTTATTGTGTTTGCTTTTGTCATTTCAAGTATCGCAAACATTGCTACTGTAGCGTCAGGGAGTCATCATGTGTATTAGAGGTTCTCACTTGCTCCTCTCTCCCCTTGTGTATCTGTGTGTAGCTGATCCTGCCTGATGCCATGAAGGTGTTCCCGGTTTACTTAAACAGCCTGTTGAAGACTGGTCCCCTGGTGGGCAGCGCTGAGCTCTCTACAGACGACAGGGCTCACCAGAGACTCATCACCACGGCCATGGGGGTGGAGGATACCCAGCTGCTTCTCTACCCACGCCTCGTCCCACTGGTGAGACAACATGCACACTCTCCTGCCTCGTCCCACTGGTGAGACAACATGCACACTCTCCTGCCTCATCCCACTGGTGAGACAACATGCACACTCTCCTGCCTCATCCCACTGGTGAGACAACATGCACACTCTCCTGCCTCGTCCCACTGGTGAGACAACATGCACACTCTCCTGCCTCGTCCCACTGGTGAGACAACATGCACACTCTCCTGCCTCGTCCCACTGGTGAGACAACATGCACACTCTCCTGCCTTGTCCCACTGGTGAGACAACATGCACACTCTCCTGCCTCGTCCCACTGGTGAGTCAACATGCACACTCTCCTGCCTTGTCCCACTGGTGAGACAACATGCACACTCTCCTGCCTCGTCCCACTGGTGAGACAACATGCACACTCTCCTGCCTTATCCCGCTGATGAAAGCGCACACACATAACACACCCACCTCTGGCGCTACCCATGTTCGATCAATCTCACTCCCTCTCTCTGAGGTCCTTTTTACCAACTGCAATTTGTTTGTTTATTATGATCATGATACCTGTGATTCCTTCCTCATTTAGGCAAATGGACCTCAATCTTAAATGTTCTATCACTATCCCAATCCCACTTCAATTACCTCTAACCGGTGCCCCCGCACATTGACTCTGTACCCCCTGTATATAGCCTCGCTATTGTTATTTTTACTGCTGCTCTTTAACTATTTGTTACTTTTATTTTGTATTATTTTATATTGTATGTATGTGTGTATATATAATATATGTGTGTGTGTGTGTGTGTGTTAGTGCTGAGTTCTGACTACATGGTATTCACTTAATTGATGTGAAAAGATACTCCGGGATATATATACTGAATATCGCTCTGGTCAAGGGATACAATAAAGGTAAAGATGACTCTGTTGTTGAGATAATGAACAGCAGAGGGCAGCATTTCGCTGCGTCCCACTACAGCGGAGTTGACGCATTTACCAGTCTTTGGTATTGGCATCCGTAAGGTGTGACATCCTATTAGTTGATATTGCATGCCAGCACACAAACAATTACCCAGCAAAACACTTCAACAAAACCTGCCATTTTGAGGTGGCTGATGAGAAACTGAATGAATGGTGTGTGCATGAGTCTTCAGAGAAGTGTATGAGGGTAAAGATACAAGTGGCCTCAGTAGAATAATTTTTACATTTTAGTCATTTAGCAGACACTCTTATCCAGAGCGACTTACAGTTAGTGAGTGCATAATTTTTTTTTTTTTCATACTCGTCCCCCGTGGGAAACGAACCCACAACCCTGACGTTGCAAACGCCATGCTCTACCAACTGAGCTACACGGGACTATAATAATAATTACATGCTTCATAATTGAGACATGGCTCATACAATGGCAGTTATTTGTTCTCCTTCATATCTATTGCTGTGTTTGCTTGGAAAGTGCCAGGCACTTGTGATTCATTTTGTTTTAATTTGTGTGTCACAGCAAACACGGCAATTGTCTTAAAGCAATACTGTAATATGTGCATAATTAGGGTTGGAATGGTCCTCCTAATAATATGCTGTAAACTCTGGAGCACTGCTCACCTGAATGAAAGTGCAAGATGGATTTAACTTGTCAACCTATCTTGATTATGTCGAAAGATAGTAGCATTTTCATTGAAAAGGTGTGCAGCTCAATACTCTTTGGTTGGGGTACAGCTCAATACTCTTTTGTAAGGACTCCTCTCAAAATGCTTTCATTGGTGTCCATCTCAATACTGTCATAATGGGGTACATTTCAATACTCTTGTTGGGGTCAGACTTAGTTTTTTACAATTGTTTAAGCACAATTTTGAAAACAGGGCCCGGTTTGTCAAAACACTACACACAATTAGCACAACCCTACACCAAAGTAGCACAACACTTCAGATCATTTGCAAAATGGAACACTTTTGTCAACTATACACGACTTCATAAAAACTATATTTTGTTACAATACGAAACACACACATTTCATGACTTCAATCTTTTTGAACCAGTTACACACTGCTGTTGCTAACCTAAAACACTTTTAGCAAGTCTAATTCTCAGTGATTAGAGTACTGTAAATGAAGTACACAGAGAAAGTGCAACTATACAAACACTACACAAGACCAATGCTGCAGACTGAGGAAAATATCATTTATTTCTCTCCATATACCCAAATCGGTCAACATGGAGAATCACAACAAAACATGTCCCAGTTTTCATGCTACTACAGTAGTGTGCATAACACTGTTAGCTCAGCAAACAACAGACAAACGTAAAATACTGTATCCAGTACAAGTTACAATTACAGTAAATAACAACAACCATAACAAATAATCTGAAAAAAACGGACTTGTACAGAAAATACTACAGTAAACATACTATACATTATCTCTTCGCCTAGCTGGATCTGGCCAGAGAATTTAATCAACATCACAAGCAATATCCTCATTAGCAAGACAACGCGGGATGAACCGTCTTGAATGTCGAATCCATTCTTGCACAGCTGCGGTGTCGACTTGGTCACAGGCGTCCTCCATGGCCTGAATGAGGGGTACCTGAGCCTGGGGCTGGAGATCGTAAACCTTCCACCGCCATGCAGAGAGAAACTCTTCGATAGGGTTTAGAAATGGAGAGTATGGTGGAAGGTATAGTACTGTCAACTGTGGATGGTTTTGAAACCAGTTCTGGACCAAAGCAGAGCGGTGGAATGACACATTGTGCCAGATGACAGTGTATTGCATCTGGTGCATTTCATTACCTGCTGTGACGATGTGGTGCAATCGGTCCAAAAATGCGAGAATGTGAGGTGTGTTGTAAGGGCCCATTTTGGCATGACGGAGGAGAACCCCATGCTGTGAAATGGCAGCGCAAAGGGTGATGTTACCCCCACGTTGCCCTGGGACATTGATTATATCCCTGTGGCCAATGATATTTCTGCCTCTTCTTCTTGCTTTTGTGAGGTTGGACCCTGCCTCATCAATATATATGAATTCATGCAGGATTTCCTCAGCATCCATCTGCAAAACTCTCTGAAATACAGTGAAAGACAAGATTGTGTAGTTCAGGATAGGTCTAGTATACCGTCAATGTAAAAAAGTAATGTGTGCAGTATGCAACATCAGTGCTAAAGTGAACAATACAAACCTCCAAACACTCATGCCGCAGCCGTTTGACCCTCTTTGAATTCCGCTCAAAAGGCACTCAATAAAGTTGTTTCATTTGAACCTGATGTCTTTTCAGGATGCGTGCCAGTGTTGACTGAGAGACCTGATGGACATTATTGAAAATGGCATGGTCACCGATAATGTTGGCTTGTAGTTCTCTGAGCCTGATAGCATTATTGGCCAAAACCATGTTTATTATCTCTCTCTTGTTCTTGCGTGAATATGGGCCCCCTTCCTCCTTGTCGTTCCCGACCCTCAATCCTATGTAGAGAATAATACATGTAACTTACTGTACAATGGCTCGGCCTCTGCCTCTTCCTCCTTCTCCGTGTACTCCTCCTCTCACCCTCACTCTTCTTCTGACTCCTTCCATTTTGGTTGAAGGCAGGTGAACCTACCTGCTGCATTTTTATAGTGCTTAAACCTGATTGGTGTGTCTACAATTTAGCAATCATGTGTTTGTACACCTGATGGCTGTGTTTAACAGATTGGCTCAATTTGACAGTCAGTGATTTGGAATTGCAAGGAAGTGACATCATGATATACTTCTGTGTCTGATGTATACAAGTGTGTTTAGTGTTTTGCAAATAGTGTGAAGCTGACAATGTGCTTACAGTTGTGAAAATCTAGCCTTGTGTTTTGCTCCTTGAGTGTAAGGTTTTGCTAATTGTGGGAAAAGTTTAATTTTAGTGTGTAAGCAATTGTAAAAAACTGTAATACTATGCTTCTTGTTATAGATTGTGGTCTACCATAACAGTCATGTGCAGCCCCCTCCATTTCTTCAATAAAGTTGTATTTATTCATTGATTGATTCCTCCCCCAGCACAACATGGACGTTGCCAGTGATGTGGTGCCAGCGCCAGTGCGCTGTTCTGAGGAGCGCCTGACAGAAGCTGGCATGTTCCTGCTGGAGAATGGGCGCTCCCTCTTCCTGTGGCTGGGCCAGGCCTGCCCCCCAGAGCTGGTCCAGAGCATCTTCAATGTGCCCTCCCTCGCCCACATGCCCGCTGACCTGGTGAGGACCATAACTCCCTTACCCCCAAGCTCAACAGGGGATGGGGTGTTTCAACACCTTAGAATACCATTAGTTCTGATATTTTAAAAGTTCATTCAAGACTGTGTAGAAAGAATAGCATATCACTGTGTGTTTTCCAGCGCTCCCTACCAGTTCTGGATAACCCCCAGTCTAAGAAGCTGCGTTCCATCATTGACTCATTGCTTGACCAGAGGCCCAGCGCCATGAAGGTACAGTATTCAATATATTGGTTACTGTTACTATGCATACTTTCCACTGGATGTCTAAACTACTTTGATATAATTAAAGAACGGTATCAGTTTGTTGAATTGGGAAACAAACGTAGCCATATTTATCACACAAGGGCATAAATCTTACTTTTAAGCCCTGGGAACAATAGAATATCATACATTCAACAGGCTGCCCAAGCTTATACTGTTTTTCCTGAAAGCAATTGCCAAAAAATGTAAGGAGTAGTGAAATATTTTGCTGTTGATATAGCATAGTATTGATAGTGGACTGAGTCATTTTGAACAAGCGTTTAAAAAACCTGAAAGCAGTTTGTGCAGGAGTGCGCACCACAGGTCCTCTCGAGGGCTACCAGGTCTGCTGGTTCCATTCTAGCTGATGAACGCCTCCAAGATGCTCATCAGCTAGAATGGAAACCAGAAGTGTCTTGTGCCCTGGAGTTAGAGTAAGGTCATAAGCTGACTCTGTCCCCATGTCATCCCCCCCTCCCCCTCCCCTATAGCTCCTGATCGTGAAGCAGAAGGACCGGTCTGAGATGCTGTTCCGCCAGCACCTGGTGGAGGACAAGGGGCTCCACGGTGGAGCCTCCTATATGGACTTCCTGTGCTACGTCCACCGCGAGATCAGACAAGTCCTCACTTAACACCCCCCACTGGATATCACCTCTTACAGACTCCATAGCTGCCTTTCCAACACCCTTTAACCCCTCCCCCTTATTCCACACAAACCTACAGGACTACCGTTCTCTATTCTGTCAGAGTATCAGGATCTGTGCTCCAGTCTGCTATGTACATTTGTCTACTTATACGAGTCAGTCTGACTTCTTTAAGTCCGCAGAATTGATGTACATTAACAATTAACTGGTTTCTATGTAAATGGAGCAATGGATATAAAAGGAATTGCTGGGGTTCAGGACCTCCGGACCACAGGTTTGGCCACATTTGCAACATTAGACAGTGTTCACTTCGTTTCACAACATTTACATTTTAGTCATTTAGCAAACGCTCTTATCCAGAGCAACTTACTATTGAGTAAACAATTTTAATTATATATATATATATTTTTTTTTTAATTGCCAATGTCTGTTTTTAAGCACATACATTCCTTTCTTGTCACAATTTCTCATTAGGGAAGAGTTTACAGAATTTCACAGCACCAAATGGTAATTTAGCCACAACATGGGTTAAAATAAACATCTGGTTGGCATGACAAAAAATGGGTGCTGTGGCTATTATTAAATTAGTGGTTCACTCAACCATTCATGATTGGATTCCATTATTTTCCCATTCCCCTCAGGTATGGAGAGAATTTGCTAGCTAGATTATTGATACAAGGCCAAATTCAGTGACAACTCACTGACAAACATGGGAGAAATAACCCAAATCATCTGCGTTATTTATCTGTAAAGATGAGATTAAACATTCCACATTCTTAATTAATTCCAGTTATATACCTGTATGCCTTGTTTTTGTTTGTTTTCATCAAGTTACTGCTTATGTCTCATTTACATTAATTTAATATATAAAGTCAAGTATTGGTTGTGTTTGTATGCGACATGGAGGTTTTGGGGGAAACTGAGTTCCTGTGCCAGTTCACCGTGTGCCTTAAATACATGTTTTTTTGTTTGTTTTTAAATCTAGGCCATTAGTCTATTCCAGTGAGATACAGATTTCAATCTATCTGTTAGATTTGTATGCAAACATCTCAGGTCATTCGTGTACCTAGCAATTGTGGTGCAGAGAAAACAGTTGCGTAACTGGAAAGACTGAAGTGTACATGGAATGGATCTATTTGAGTGAAGTGGCCTTGGAGTAGCGCGCCATGTACATTCTGAGCTAAAGCGCGCATATATCAGTTTGATTAAATTCCTGACTATATCAAGCTTTTGAAGTTGCACTTGTCTTTTACTTTCATTTCCATTGAGATTCTTACAAACACTTGAGTTGGTTTAGTCTGGTGTTTCATTTGACTGCCTCAGATACATATACTGAACAAAAATATAAATGCAACATGTAAAGTGTTGGTCCCATGATTTCATGAGATTAAATAAAATATCCCAGAAATGTTCCATACGCACAAAAAGCTTATTTAGTTACATTTTGTACACATTTGTGTACATCCCTGTTAGTGAGCATTGCTCCTTCGCCAAGATAATCCATCCACATGACAGGTGTGGCATATCAAGAAGCTGATTAAACCGCATTATCATTACACAGGTGCACCTTGTGCTGGGGACAATGAAAGGGTGGGAGCATGCAATTGGCATGCTGACTGCAGAAATGTCCACCAGAGCTGTTGCCAGAGAATGTAATGTTAATTTCTCTACCCTAGGCCGCCTCCATCGTTTGAGAATTTGGCAGTACGTCCAACCAGCCTCACAACCACAGACCATGTGTAAGCACGACAGCCCAGGACCTCCACATCTGGCTTCTTCACCTGCGGGATTGTCTGAGACCAGTCAACCGGACAGTTGATGAAACAGTTCTGTTGGTAACACAACCATTTTATGGGGGAAAACTCATTCTGATTGGCAGGGCCTTGCTCCCTAGTGGGTGGGCCTATGCCCACCCATGGCTGTGCCCCTGCCCAGTCATGTGATATCCATAGATTAGGGCCTAATTAATTTACTTCAATTGGCTGATTTCCTTATATGAACAGTAACGCAGTAAAATCGTTAATATAGCGTTTATATTTTTGTTCAGTATAAATAAAGTTCTCATACACCCAGTGAAAGTGACTCACCTCAAGGTCCTTGGGGTACATTTCTACACAACATAACCAATGTTCCCTTTAAACTGCGCGCAGCTCCCCACCGACTGCCAAGCAGAAGAAATATGAGCCTGCGCAGAGAACGAGATTGAACTTCATTCAAATGTCTGCAGATTAACACTATCAACGTTTCTCTCTACTGTGTGAATTGTGATCGAATCAACGCAATATTAGACACTTTCAATGTAATATACCGAATCAAAACTATGCAAGATTTAGTATGCAAAACTAACTGTGCAAGAGATTTTCTTGTAGACAGAGCGCATTGGAGTATGATTATATTGCGTTTACATTCACGACTCAAATTCATACTCTACACCAGGGGTACTCAACTCTTACCCTACGAGGCCCGAAGCCTGCTGCTTTCCTCGTCTACCTAATGACTAATTGCACACACCTGGTCTAAAGCGGTCCCTGATTAGAGGGGAACAATGAAAAATGCAGTGGAACTGGCTTCGAGGTCCAGAGTTGAGTTTGAGGGCTCTACACCGACCGGTGTGCCACAACCAATCAGAGCAGACCGTTTAGACTACCGTATGAACGGTCGTGAGTAGATACACTTGTTTTTAGATCAACGTGTGTGATGCATGCAGCCACATTTGTTCATATTCTTTGCTAGTCAGTGAGTTATTAGTCCAGTTATAGCTAATTTCTAGTCAGCAACGGTCGAGCGGTTGCTTCCAACATGAGCACAAAATGTCTTAAAGTGGCAGTGTTGTATTTTGAAACGGTCTTGAATAAGATAAGTAGCCAATAGGCAGAGCGTAGCATTATTTGTCTGATTCTCTGTAAAACATGGTATGGGAATAATTTATTTAATACGTTTTTGTTTTTTTCATCAAACACATTTTCAGTCACCTCCTTGTCTGAAGGACAAGTGGATAAACAGGTTAATGTCAAGCCCTGCATGTTTGTTCCCCCAAAAGTGTCATGGAACGTAGGCCTACATTGAACACCACACATTGGCTGCTACCATAGGCTGAATGATAGAACAGCTATTTCCATGTTCAAATGTTATGGGATGCATTTTTCTCCGTTGTTTTTGATGCAAGGCCACTCTGGAAGGCCTACATTATAATCAAATAGCCACAGTAGCCTACTTGGCCACTGTTAAAACTAACTTAAAGCGGGTAGAGCCTCAGTGTTCACAGTAAATGCGCACCGGAAGTTGCACAGAATTTTCAAAGTTCAAGTTTGAGCTCAGCAGATCTGAAATTTGCTCTGTAATAATTGTTTTTGAGGGAACATTGAACATAATTACACACCACAGTGACACACCCACATTAAATATCTGAACACAGGGGTCGTGAACATTCAAACCAGTTTATTGAATCTCTCTTATAAAATGCACTCACCTAATCACAAAGACAACTGTACATCTTAAATGCCCAGTAACTCTTAAGGTCCTTTAAATCTCTATTCTAGACATATATGGGTCTGCACAAATTAAACCTACACTATCTTGTATAGCAGTTTCCTAGATTTAGCTAATGGCAATAAGATTAGTCTTTCCTACCTACATATTTAGCGTGGTCCTTTGTAGAGCATGGCGCTTGTAATGCCAGGGTAGTGGGTTTGATTCCCGGGACCACCCAAACGTAAAATGTATACGTGCATGACTAAGTCGCTTTGGATAAAAACACCTGCTAAATGGCATATTATATTGAGTGAAAGAGGAACATGGTTCCTTAACATTTTATAGAGGTCCATTGAGGAAAATATACAGCACTTGTATTTCAAAATAGCATTCAAGTCATCCATTTTAATGTTTCTGAACTCAACTAATTTTTTCAAGATTGGAGAAACAACTGGACTCCATTGCAAGTTATTTGAATGGGTGTGGGATTTCTACCTTGGCAGCGTCTGCATCCCTGAATTGCCAATATTTAAAAGTACATTATTTATTTGAACCAAGTGTTAGGCTCAGAGTACCACAAGGTGGCGATATTGTAACATTCTGTCATTGATCCAAGCCACAAACTCAGCACACACAGGCTACTCAAATAAGTTAATAACATTGGTACATTGTGTAAGAAAATAAATACGATTTAAGTCCTGTGCATATATGTCACAGTGCTAATGTTGAAGGTTTTAACAGGCTTTGTTCGATAAATTGAAATTTTCCAAGATCAGATTTTGAGTGCAATAAAATCTGAAATCAGAGCAACCAAATACTACCCTCATGCACCTCATGCTATAATGATCGATTTAAATACATTAGGATGTAAGGTTGAATAACAGATTGACAGAAGTCACTTTTTTCGACGGTACTTTATCATTCGGGAACTTGTTTGCCAGAGACGTGTTCAATTGGGATAAAATATTTTGAGATGGCGTGAAACCGGTAGGTACAACCTGAACTTGTCCAATAAGAACTTATTTTGCTCTGCCCTACTTAACTCGACCCATGTTTTTAGGAGATAATTAGCCAGCTGAACAAAATCCCTGGTCAAATAAGATCAAGCTAGGTACACAAACAAGTTATTGCCCTAGACTATGCTTGCTCTTATGAACTCCAGAACACATTCCCAGGGGTACATTTACATGGATAAATAATGTATTGCCAATTAAGGAAACAGAATATGCAAAATACTGCAGATACCTCCTTGCTCATGTCCACGTTGCTTTTCATCAACTTTTCAGTTAGGTAAGGGCGATAAAGTAGGGTTTTGGAGCAGAAGCCTCCTGTAAGTAAGTAGGTAGTGATATTGGGGAGGGAGGGGCCCCACTGCTACCCAGCATGCTCTGTCCCTGCACATGTTTGGGGCCAATCAGGACTCTAATCAGAGACCACAGGGGCCAATCAGTCCTCATATGCAGGGAAACTGGACATGCCACAAACACAGGTCCCATCCAGAAACAACCCTTACCCCTTATACTTAGATCTGAGAGGATTGGGAATATTTAAGCAATATGGTCATAGCTCCACCTTGCCCTCTGATAGGCTGGGTAGAATTATCGCCATATTGCTTCCACCTGTCCAATCCTCTCACATCTCCATTATTGTCTAGACAGTTGGGGCTAGGGTTTGTTTCTGGACAGGGCAACAGATCTACCTCTCAAAACCAAAGGATGACAGATTCGATTTGCTTGTATAGCTTCACCCCAGTGACCCTCTTCAAAGGACCGTGACAAAGGATTGCGTTCATCCACCTCTGGCCTGCTGGCTCCCCTTCCTCTGCGGAAGCATAGTTCCCGCTCAGCCCAGTCAAAACTGTTCGCTGCTCTGGCACCCCAATGGTGGAACAAGCTCCCTCACGACGCCAGGACAGCGGAGTCACTCACCACCTTCCGGAGACATTTGAAACCCCACCTCTTTAAGGAATACCTGGGATAGGATAAAGTAATCCTTCTACCCCCCCCCCCCAAAAAAAATAAAAAATTGTAAAGTGGTTATCCCACTGGCTATAGGGTGAATGCACCAATTTGTAAGTCGCTCTGGATAAGAGCGTCTGCTAAATGACGTAAATGTAAATGTAATAAACATACATATACAAAAATACCATAAATTCACCCCAAGAGTGAGCTTCTGCTTAATACTGTCCATCTGACTATCCCTTTGTACATTGACTAGCATATCTATCATATCTATATAATTAAAATCCAACATACTAGTGTAACCTGCAAAATAGTTGAATGGGAACATGTCGACAGGACACATGGTGGAATACAGTCAAATAAAATACATTTAAAAGCAGCATAATCTTGTGGCAAGATAACTGTTTCTCCTGATCGCATACTCAAGGTAAGTAACAGCCAATCTGTGTGCTTCTAATTATACTTTTCACCATCCCGACTCATCATCGAATTCAACGTGGAGTGCATCGTCTCATTCTAGTTGGCAAATAACCATGAACAAAGTTGAAAATTCCACATAGATTCTTATTAGAGTATATACACCTTTTTAAAATTTCTACAATGTTAAGTCTATTTTATTTGGGTCCTGGGAAAGCAAAGGATGGACCGTGGTGGCTGAAAAACCTCAGTGGTAAGGAACATTCTGGAATTTGGAGCCTACTTTAGCAACAGTTATGTCACTATTCATCACACAAACTTTCACCTTTCAGACTCATTATTGTCCATCTGTTCAAAGGCAGTGGCATAAGCTAACGCATTTTGCTGGTTTCCACTAGATAACACAGCCACAAATGCAAAATTGGCTATCGTAAAAATTCATAAAAACAAAAATGTGCTTTTTGGTTTTCATTTAAGGTTTGGTTTAAAATCAGGGTTAAGGTTCAGTTTGAAATACAATTTTAAGAAGATACATTTTAGAAATAGGCTGGGTTTATGATTTTGTGGCTGTGTTAACTAGTGACAACCCAGTTTGCTGGATTCCTGTACTGCAGATACTTTAAATGGTGACTGCAGAACAGCTGTTAAGATACATGTATCTTTGTACACAGGAGATTTGAAGCATTCAATCTACTCAATCAAACCACAAAACTCAAATTGAAAAGGAAATATTGTAAAGATCAATGCTTTTTTACACAGTTATTCCAGAATGTTTCATACCATTACATCTATACTGTATGTTTTGTGTGGTCCATTTCAATGGACAATACTTCCATATGTTTGCCTGAACAGCGTACAAAAACGCTGTATGCGGCCAAGCTGGTTGTTGGTTGGTGTCTGTTGATAGTCGAGTCCAGAGCTCTCCAGGTCAGCCACGAGTTAAATTACATTTTCAAAGAGCTGCATCGATCTCATGATGTTCTCATCCTGGTGGAGAAAGAGAGACACTTTAGAGATGTCCATCCTTCACTGAAAATGTATACCAAAGGTACTAAATACTGTATTATGCTAAACATATGATGCAATTGCAGAGAAGGCGGCGGAAATGACTCACATTTTGGCAGCAGTCAATAAACTCTTCTATGGTTACAACACCATCCTTATTTTTATCCATCTTCTGTTGGTCAGGAACGTCAGAGATGTTGGTCAGGAACGTCAGAGATGTTGGTCAGGAACGTCAGAGATGTTGGTCAGGAACGTCAGATGTTGGGAAGGCAACGCAAAATATAATGTATATGTACATTGTAACAGTACACATGGATGAACTAATTGGAAAGATGGAAAATAGTTAATTTCATTCCACATAACAAGTGTCACTGTACCTTAGGGTAATTTTATTTCAATATGACAAACATTGGACTATTGGTCCATACAATAAATGCTGATGATGATGGTGAATGTAATATGCACATTTTGTCAACAATGTATGGCACTTTTTTTTTTTTAACACACACATACCTGAAAAAATATCTCCACGTGTTGTCGAGGGGTATCGTCTTTGAGTAGGGGATATGTGCATTTCCCCATCATGTCATAGATGGCCTTCATGATGTCAAGCATTTCCTTTAAAACAGAGAGTAAAGATAATGGGTATGTTGACAGCAAGTACACTGTATAAAAGATAAGGTGAAGAAAAGTAGAGGATCCTTTTTAAATACCATTAGACTAGTTGTCCTGCTTTATATCTACATACAGTAAGCTATCACTCATTCAACCGATACCAATTACTAGGTCAGTATTTTATTCTTATTTATAGAAATCAATAAGTAATTCAATCAACATCATAAAGACAGCAAGTTGCGACATTGATTGTACGTACCTCTTTAGTAATACATCCATCCTTATTAATATCATACAGATTAAAGGCCCAGTTGAGCTTCTCCTGGACTGAGCCTCGGAGGAGGATAGAGAGGCCTATAACAAAGTCCTGCAGTAGAAACACAAACTATTGGAAATTGTAACAAAAACACATAATAAATATCTATGAAACCTTAATGGACTGATATGATACCGGTAACAGACACATTTCTACTCATGTACAAAGAATGAACTTGAACTGAACTTTTTTTGGTTACCATATCTAGGTGATATGGAAATTGAATTGAACTTAGTTTGGTTACCATATCTAGTCTAAAATATATAACATTTACGTCCTTTAGCAAATGTTCTTATCCAGAGGAGCAATTAGTGTTAAGTGCCTTGCTCAAGGGCACAGACCCCAACAAATATTTACCTAGTCAGCTCTGGGATTTGAACCAACAACCTTTCGGTTACTGGCCCAATGCTCTTAACCGCTAGGCTACTTGCCGCCCATAACACATTCATCAGTATGATTCTTTCGAACAATATTCTTCCCAAAAAACAACAAATGAACACAGATTACAGTGGGGAAAAAAAGTATTTAGTCAGCCACCAATTGTGCAAGTTCTCCCATTTAAAAAGATGAGAGAGGCCTGTAATTTTCATCATAGGTACACGTCAACTATGACAGACAAAATGAGAATTTTTTTTCTCCAGAAAATCACATTGTAGGATTTTTTATGAATGTATTTGCAAATTATGGTGGAAAATAAGTATTTGGTCAATAACAAAAGTTTCTCAATACTTTGTTATATACCCTTTGTTGGCAATGACACAGGTCAAACGTTTTCTGTAAGTCTTCACAAGGTTTTCACACACTGTTGCTGGTATTTTGGCCCATTCCTCCATGCAGATCTCCTCTAGAGCAGTGATGTTTTGGGGCTGTCGCTGGGCAACACGGACTTTCAACTCCCTCCAAAGATTTTCTATGGGGTTGAGATCTGGAGACTGGCTAGGCCACTCCAGGACCTTGAAATGCTTCTTACGAAGCCACTCCTTCGTTGCCCGGGCGGTGTGTTTGGGATCATTGTCATGCTGAAAGACCCAGCCACGTTTCATCTTCAATGCCCTTGCTGATGGAAGGAGGTTTTCACTCAAAATCTCACAATACATGGCCCCATTCATTCTTTCCTTTACACGGATCAGTCGTCCTGGTCCCTTTGCAGAAAATCAGCCCCAAAGCATGATGTTTCCACCCCCATGCTTCACAGTAGGTATGGTGTTCTTTGGATGCAACTCAGCATTCTTTGTCCTCCAAACACGACGAGTTGAGTTTTTACCAAAAAGTTATATTTTGGTTTCATCTGACCATATGACATTCTCCCAATCCTGTTCTGGATCATCCAAATGCACTCTAGCAAACTTCAGACGGGCCTGGACATGTACTGGCTTAAGCAGGGGGACACGTCTGGCACTGCAGGATTTGAGTCCCTGGCGGCGTAGTGTATTACTGATGGTAGGCTTTGTTACTTTGGTCCCAGCTCTCTGCAGGTCATTCACTAGGTCCCCCCGTGTGGTTCTGGGATTTTTGCTCACCGTTCTTGTGATCATTTTGACCCCACGGGGTGAGATCTTGCGTGGAGCCCCAGATCGAGGGAGATTATCAGTGGTCTTGTATGTCTTCCATTTCCTAATAATTGCTCCCACAGTTGATTTCTTAAAACCAAGCTGCTTACCTATTGCAGATTCAGTCTTCCCAGCCTGGTGCAGGTCTACAATTTTGTTTCTGGTGTCCTTTGACAGCTCTTTGGTCTTGGCCATAGTGGAGTTTGGAGTGTGACTGTTTGAGGTTGTGGACATGTGTCTTTTATACTGATAACAAGTTCAAACAGGTGCCATTAATACAGGTAACGAGTGGAGGACAGAGGAGCCTCTTAAAGAAGAAGTTACAGGTCTTTGAGAGCCAGAAATCTTGCTTGTTTGTAGGTGACCAAATACTTATTTTCCACCATAATTTGCAAATAAATTCATAAAAAATCCTACAATGTGATTTTCTGGATTTTTTTCCCTCAATTTGTCTGTCATAGTTGACGTGTACCTATGATGAAAATTACAGGCCTCTCTCATCTTTTTAAATGGGAGAACTTGCACAATTGGTGGCTGACTAAATACTTTTTTTCCCCACTGTACATAATAAATAATGCACATTATTTGATTTGTAGAGATGTTTTGGGATCCCTACAAAATAGGCTTGAGAGTGATACAGTACTCTTGGACAGAAGAACGCACAGTGTTTTTGTAACACCAGATAACTTGGGTGTAGAGCAACGACAACTTTTCTATCCTAATAAGCAAGATTATTCTCTTCATTAATGTTAATTATATGTATGCTGGGGGGATTCCACATGGACTCAATTAAAATGAAGTGAAGTTTCAGGGTTAGCATGTGTCTTGTGGATATAACGCTTCTAACAACCTTGGAATGCTCACTTTCTTTTCTATCAACTTCTGTTAAATGCTCCTAGGGCAATGGGGTTGGTAACTAGGAGAGCATTGAGAAGACCCACAGACTCTCAGAGACTGATGTAAGAAATCTCCACAACTGTACATTCTATATTAAAATCTGTATTGTAAAATGGATTATTTAAATAGGAAAGTCCCATTTGAGATATAATAAATATATACACTACCGGTCAAAAGTTTTAGAACACCTACTCATTCAAGGGTTTTTCTATATTTTTACTATTTTATACATTGTAGAATAATAGTGAAGACATCAAAACTATGAAATAACACATATGGAATCATGTAGTAACCAAAAAAGTGTTAAACAAATCAAAATATATTTTATATTTGAGATTCTTCAAATAGCCACCCTTTGCCTTGATGACAGCTTTGCACACACTTTGCATTCTCTCAACCAGCTTCATCTGGAATGCTTTTCCAACAGTCTTGAAGGAGTTCCCACATATGCTGAGCACTTGTTGGCTGCTTTTCCTTCACTCTGCGGTCCGACTCATCCCAAACCATCTCAATTGGGTTGAGGTCAGGGGATTGTGGAGGCCAGGTCATCTGATGCAGCACTCCATCACTCTCCTTCTTGGTAATATAGCTTTACACAGCCTGGAGGTGTGTAGGGTCATTGTCCTGTTGAAAAACAAATTATAGTCCCACTAAGCCCAAACTAGATGGGATGGCGTATCGCTGCAGAATACTGTAGTAGCCATGCTGGTTAAGTGTGCCTTGAATTCTAAATACACAGACCGTGTCACAGACCGTGTCACCAGCAAAGCACCACCACACCATAACACCTCCTCCATGCTTTACGGTGGAAACTACACATGCGGTGATCATCCGTTCACCCACACTGCATCTCACAAAGACACGGCGGGTTGAACCAAAAATCTCGAATTTGGACTCCAGACCAAAGGACACATTTCCACTGGTCTAATGTCCATTGCTTGTGTTTCTTGGCCCAAGCAGGTCTCTTCTTCTTATTGGTGTCCTTTAATAGTGGTTTCTTTGCAGCAATTTGACCATGAAGGCCTGATTCACACAGTCCCCTCTGAACAGCTGATGTTGAGATGTGTCTGTAACTTGAACTCTGTGAAGCATTTATTTGGGCTGCAATTTCTGAGGCTTGTAATTCTAATGAACTTATCCTCTGCAGCAGAGGTAACTCTGGGTCTTCCATTCCTGTGGCGGTCCTCATGAGAGCCAGTTTCATCATAGCGCTTGATAGTTTTTGCGACTGCACTTGAAGAAATGTTCAAAGTTCTTTAAATTGTCCGTATTGACTGACCTTCATGTCTTAAAGTAATGATGGACTGTCGTTTCTCTTTGCTTATTTTAGCTGTTCTTGCCATAATATGGACTTGGTATTTTACCAAATAGGGCTATCTTCTGTATACCCTCCCTACCTTGTCACAACACAACTGATTGGCTCAAACGCATTAAGAGGGAAAAAAATTCCACAAATTAACTTTTAAGAAGGCACACCTGTTAATTGAAATACATTCCAGGTGACTAATTCATGAAGCTGGTTGAGAGAATGCCAAGAGTGTACAAAGCTGTCATCAAGGCAAAGGATGGCTATTTGAAGAATCTCAAATCTATTGTTTAGGAGAGTAAAAAGAGAGTTGTGAGCCTGTTAATATATTTTTGTAGTAGCCTTTTCCTTTTTCTCTGTTGACATAATCTATTAGCTTTCTCTATTGGGCCGATGCAGTGAGAAACTTAAATGAGCAGAGTAAATATGGATGATGACCAAGAACGTGATTCTAGGCGCACAGACAGTTCAACTGCAGCCAAAGGAACGGAGGACAATGCAGTCGAGGTAGAAAACAGACACACACACACACACAGAGACACTGACAGATGTATACTGAGTTCCTTGATGTTTTGGCTGCATATGTTGCCTAGTAATTATAGGCCTAATGAATCCTTAGGGTAGGGGGTGTATATATCAGACACTCGTTTGCATATGTAGGCTAGTATGCAGCCTAGTTAGGCTAGAAAATAATTAGCTACTGTAAGCCTATTGAACTTAATAGAATTAATTCATTTGCACAAGTTTCTTATACGACATGAAAATATTGCAACATCATCAGTCTGTGTGTGTGTGTGTGTGTGTGTGTGTGTGTGTGTGTGTGTGTGTGTGTGTGTGTGCATCTATTGTGTAGTCAGTTAGCGATAGGCTAGGTCTACTAATGATACTGCAACTGTCTTATGAGTAGATAGAAAGGCTTTCCCAAAAACATTTTGAATTACATGTTAACTACTAAGTATGCCTACCTGGCAAAATGATATCATGATTATTATTTGTATGAATTGGGTGAGGATTTGTTTGGCAAACTCTGCCATCGTAGTAGCCTACAAAAACATTGGTTCCCAGTAGATAGGCAAGCGGCAAAGTCAAAATTGGCTATATTGTCCAAAATATTGACAATTTAAGGTTAGGATTAAGCATAAGGTTAGCAGTGTGATTAGGGTTAGGCATAAGGTTAGCAGTGTGATTAGGGTTAGGTTTAAAACTTGCCCAGATAGTGCCGACCAGAAACATCGCCAGTCCTCTCTCGCTAGGTGTGCAATTAAAAGGGAATTACACTCAAATCCCCCCAAAAATGT